AAAAAAAAAAAAAAAACACCAGACAGAGCACCTTATGTTTTTTGGGAAGGGTCGAGTTTTCTCAGTATGAAGTCCTGCCTCGTCTGACCGGCTACGGCTCCCCAGATCAATCATTTCATCCAGCTTGTGTCGGGGAATCACAGCAGGCAAACAGTAATTACTTATTCAATACCAGGAGCGCATAGACCCTTACAAATAGTGTAGAATGGAACAACAGCTAATGAGTCCTGTGTGGGAAGCAGAAGATTTAACACGTGCTCCTATGGTCCCATAACGAACTCCAGTCGTCACCTATCTATTACAAAATACTTTACTGAGAGCAGCATTGGCAACAAAACATGCAATTCATATATATATATATATTTATATATATATTTATATATTTTTTTTTTTTTTTTTTTTTTTTTTTTTTTCAGATTTATACAATATTCTTAGTACTTCAGTATAAAATGGTAAAACAAAATGTGTTCTTGCTAGTTTTTTATGTTTTCCTTGGTCTGTATGCTATCATTGTCTTTGCCCTTGGCTATGCCATCTGACATTCATTCTCATTTGAAACACTTATTGATATGCAGATACCTTCGGCTGTCATTTCAGAGAATATCTAAGTGACATTTTCAATAACATATGTAATCTTTGACATTTTTAGCAAGAAAAAAAGATTTTTTTTTTTAAACAATGCACACATATGTAATTAACTGGTAAGTTTTTTAGAATCAGCTTCAACGGTGGTGGAGGGTTGAATGAAAACAAAAAGTTATCTTTTGTATTTTCCACCAATTGCAAGTTGCCGTGCGACACTTTTTAATATATACGACAAAGAGATTATTGTCAATTTGAGTGGTTAGCAAAAACACACACATCTGTTCAACATCAGTCAGGAGGCACTTTCTGTTTTTGTCAGCATACAGCCCTGTAAAATCCGTCATATTCTTTCTGCATTTTGTCACATTGCAGCCACAACTTCAATGTATTCTCCAAGCATTTTGATATAATTGAATTTAGCTTAGAACAGGGCAAACAAGTCGACTTCATATGGAAAAATTTATGATCAATTTAATCTAATTACACAGAAAGATTCAGGTATTACATGCATTCTTACTCGTTATAAAACAATCCCGTCAAGTTTAGTTTTTTCATTCCAACAGGTAAAATGTTTTCTATCTAAGGAATCCAACCAATCCTATTGAGTGACTTTGCACCTGTCCGTCACAGATAAGGATGTAAGCAACTGAGGAGAGCTGATTTCTCTGGAAATGACGGAGTAGAGAGAAAATAAAACAAAGAATCACTGGGGTACTGTCTATGGTAAAGGAAAAAGTGGATTGTTAATGATAGTAGAGCAGCTCCATTAGAGGCTTCGTCCGTGAGAGAAACACAGCTAAATACACACCCTAAGCTCTGAGACAACAGCAGTATGCCACAAATAACAGTGAAAAGTTAAAATCAAACAATTCCTTCAGTTGCTGTAACTAAACAAGGTTAAACACAGAAGGAGATTAACGTGCATCACCTATTAAAAGAGAACATGAAGGTCTTGGCTGCAGCAGCCACAGTTGCAGTTAGAGAAGGCCAGACGCAACATCCACGAATGGCAGCAATGATGTCAGAAAATGAATGGAGAGCAGTAAGAGAAAGTTTGTCCACCTGCACCTTAGAGCAACATATAACTACAGAAATAGTTCAGGGTAACCAAAGCCATTATAAGTTTTTACCAAAAAGGAAAGTTCTACTCTTTTTGAATGTGATAATACAAATTAAAGATGTGCAGAATGAACTCCGCAAAATGCTTTCATAGGTTTTTCATGAAAATCTGAAAGGTCCTGCAAAGCAAAAGCATATATAGCTACTCTACAAGTGTAGAGTACATCTCTACATAAAACTTGAATGTGAACATAACTTTTCACGCTATGCCAAAGTTTCTCACTTTGGCCATCCTAACACATAAATGTATAATACTGAAAGCTTAGGATATATATATTTTTAAATAATGTACCCACCACTTTAAATCTCTCCAGAACTTTCTCCCTGATCTGTCTGCTCCGCTCCTTCTTCTTCAAAATGCTACTTGTTCATTTTCTCTTACAACACTCTGAGGCCTTTACAGAAGAACTTGTGGTTAAATTACAAACACGTTGACTTTATTAACTAAATAAGTGGCTAATAAGTTAATTGGTTGCTCTGGAGGTATCAGAGTAAATAGACTAAATACCAACGCACTCTACTTTTTTTTAGAGTTACGAGTTAAAAGAAAAAGCTTAAGAAATCTTATTTAATTTTCCTTCCACTTCACAGTTATACACTACTTCAATACTACTTTAATAGACCATCTATTACATAAAACCCTCAAAATACAATGACGCCTGTGGCTGTAAAGCAGCAAAATGCAATAATAAAAGCCAGGGTGTTATAAATGCTTGTGGATGGCTGCCACATGCGTCTTTACTTTTATATTTCCCAAAGGAAAGAGAAAGAGAATGAGAAGTGTGGCAGAGCACTCTGGGCTAACCACATGCAGCGTCGCCTTACAATTTTTTTTTTTCACATTACTTCCACCCAGCAGCAGCAAACTAGTGCAGCTCTGTAGAGTCAGCCTTCCTTCTCATTATCAGTGTCAGTTTCTGTTGGTATCACAGTAGCTAGTTAGCTCACTTCTGTCGATAATGGTTCTCAAAAAAAACAAACATTTAATTTAAAACATTTACCGGCACTTCTTCTCCTGTTTCTTCCTCCTTTTATTTTTGTTTTCTTCACTTCCTTTACCTTGGAAGTGTAAATTCACTTAAGTTAGAAACTTAAGTGAATTTATTCTGCTGACTTCTGGCATTACTTTGAATAAATCCACTCAAAGATCTGAAGGGAAAACAGTGCTTCCTGCACATCCCATTCCCTATCCAGTTAAAAAAAAAAAAAAAAAAAAAAAATCAGCTTTCTGTTTTTTGTCACATCTCTGGTGGCCTTTTGGCCCGCTGTGCGAACGGCCCATCTGGCATTAAACTGAATTTCCAGATTGCCAATCCGAGTCTGGTAGCGAAGCCTGTGAACTTGTGAAAATCGCTGCTTAAGAGTGTGAGAACATGCATAAATCATTTACCGATTTCAAGGGCGCTACCTATGCTCATGCAACAGTTGGTGTTAAATGTTTGACGCCGTTTGGTGTGCGCCACACGTATTTCCACGACGTGGCGGATCTTTTCTGAAGCCCAAGTAAAAATGTCCATGAAGGCGCCCAAAAGTAGAAGACAAAGTATAATTTCCTTCCACTATTTTGTTGAACCATCACATAAAATCCCAGCAAAATAGACAAAGATATGTGGGTTTTATGGGGCAAAACGTGAAAAACGTAAGGGAGACACTGTGTATTCTCAGAAAATTGGAATAAATAGAGGGGAAATATATATATATATATATATACCTTGTAACATTAGATCTGCAATTATTGGGTCAAACAAAAGAAGAACCACAACAAAAAAGTGCTGTCGCTGAAATATTCATTCAAACCTGGGCATGCTTTGAACTAAAACGCCTTACCCCAAGTTTAAAATTTACAGGCCTTCAGACAAAAGAAGTTGTACAAAGTTGCATCAGGCTGTTTGAAGTATTTTGTCTTGTGATCTGGAGCAGAGCAATCTAATGTTAGCTTGTCTTAATGCCTGCCCTCTTGACATCTTCTACTGCTGGCCGCAAAAAAAAAAAAAAAAAAAGGAGATAAACAGCACAACATCTATATTGTCTGTTGATATTTGGGTTATTAGGCAGAAGACAAGAAGGTTATAAACACAAGTTGGCTTCAGCAGCTGCAAGATGTTGGGTGTTCCTGTTGTACACTTATTGCAGTAATGTTATTTTTTGTTCACACATCTAATATCTACTTCACTTCACAGGCTCATTTCAGACAGAATACCTAAAAGCACACAAGGAAATAAATTTAATTAGGCTTAAATTACTTTTACAAAAACGACCATGTCGGTTTGAACATGCTCTTTTTCCTCTTAGTAAAGGAAATCATCGGTAACACTTTATTTGAGGGGGGGTGAATAAGACTGACATAACACCTGTCATGAACATGAATAAGCCTTCATGAATATTTATGACTGTTGTCATAAAGCATCTTTCGGTAAATTATGACACTTTTAATACAAAGTTGACATTATTCAAAATGTCTTTGTTATGACAACTTGACATTAACCAAGAAATCATTACTGATATAAATTTGTTATAAAAGTATTACTGATTGTGCTTTAAAAATTAGGTAACTTTATGTTATTAAAGGTAAAGTTTAAACAGTAATGATTTATTGGTTAATGTCAAGTTGTCATAACAAAGACATTTTGAATAATGTCAACTTTGTATTAAAAGTGTCATAATTTACCGAATGACGCTTTATGACAACAGTCATAAATATTCATGAAGGCTTATTCATGTTTATGATGGTGTCATGACAGTCTTATTCACCCCCCCTTCAAATAGTGTTACCAAATCATCATTTAAAAACTGCTTCTTGTACTTTCTAGTTTTATGACATTGAGTTTTGTTTGATGCTCTGGTCATTTAGACACAAAAACCACAAACTAAAAACATCGGAAAGTGAGCAAACGCTTTCTCACAGCACTCCTTATTGATTTCATTTCATTTTCATGTTTCATTTTTACATTATGTCTAACAAAAGCTGTTTGCACTGAGACAGGCGGTGGAGATTTTCAGATCAATAAGTGGGACAATAATAAGTACAGGTGGCTTTATACTTGAATTTATTGCATAATATGCTACATTTTTGTCACATACAATGAACAAGCAATGTTTCACAACTAAACAGTCAAACTTTGCAGAATCTGAGCTAAAGATGAGGTAATCTCCTATTTATATATTTATTCAGTAAGTTTTTTGGAATCGTTCAGCATATGTCATGCCCCGCTCCTCTTTGTTGTCACATTCTGCTTGAGCACTGAGAGTGACAAGCCTTGAGTTCGCCTACTTTCCGCATAGTTTGTCGAATACGCAGGTGAAAAATGCCTACAATGGAGCTGAGTTTGGCTGTGCCCCATTTCCATCTCCTTGTGCCTCGCTGTGCCTTAAACACACCCTTCTAAAGCACCTCCGCGCCATATTTCAAATACGCTGGAATGTGTCTGAAAAACGGCTGCCGCTGTGCAGTATGTAACCCTCAAAATGCCTGCGCTCGAGGCACAAAAAAAAAAAAAAAAGAAACCTGCGACAATTCACATAGGCTGTCGGATGTAGTGCAGCAGAGGGGCGGTGTGATCAGGGGAGCTGGGGAAGGCGGCTGCCCTCTCTGTGATACTCCGGCTGCACACATACGGCACTGCTTAGATTCGAGACTCACTCCACATAAAACTGGGTATACGTAAAACTGATTTTAATGGCAACTTTCTGAGTGCGGCTCTGTCTTACTCCGAGTTTGAATCTTCACATTTTCCAACCACTTTGTGTGCCTCGCTCACAGTTGGTGCCCTGAAGGATTTGGTTTGCTCTCTTGCTTTTGTTTTTGAAATATTCTACAGTGCTTTTAGGCATGTCAGGGTGCTTTCAGGTGGTAAACTCAGTTTGTTTTGAAGTATTGCCTTCTGCCGTCTAATCTGTCTAAATATTTCAGACAGAAAGAGAAAGCAAGAAGACAATATACCTTTTGTCATATTTAACAATAAGTTTATTTTAGCACTCCACCGGCTAATGCTAACTAGCTTGCGCTATTAGCACCATGACACAGCCATGGACTCCTGTTTTATTCGGTTTGTCTATGTTACTGTGTGTCTGTCGCTACCAAAGAAAGAAAGAGGAAATGTTAGGAAACAAAAGGAAAGGAAGATAATTCAGTGCTGTCAGAAAATCCGGCCTTGCATGAAAAGTTAGGCATGAATATTTTGCATTATGTCACTGATACATCTGGCGTGTCTGTTAGCCAATGACATGCCAAAATCACAGGTGCGAGGTGACTCCATCTGCAGATTGGACAGTTTTATTCATAGGAAAAAAATCTGACTGTCTCTTCTAACAGTCAGTCAGTGCACCTCCAGATGGCTTTCACGAATAAAGCATTTTTGACTCCGAGCTTCCTGCTTTCAGAATAACATTATGAAAATCTGATCAAGAGGACAGATCAAAGTGAGCCCGAACAACCGAATGCATCCAGAACTCACCTGTAAGAGAATAGAAAACATGTGTGTAGTTTAATTTTAGCAGAAATGCAGCTGCGGTGTGAAGGGCTCAGAGGAGTTTGTACGAACATAAAGCAAATGGTTCAAACTTTCAACATTTCACAAAGTATTTCTGAGTCGGAAAACTGGAAAAAAAAAAAAAAAAAAAAAAAAAGAAGTGCGGCACAGCTGCAAACCTATACCGAGACGTTGCTGTCCAACTAAACTGACAAGTGAGGAGAGTATTAATCAGAGAAGCAGTCAAGAGGCCCTTCTTAATTGCGCCACAAATCTGACCTTTATAGAAGAGTGGCAAGAAGAAAAACAATGTTGAAAGGATGCAGTTTGCCATAAGCCTTGTAGTGGTCACAGAAAATGTGGAACGAGATGCCGTACGTTGATGAAATTAAGAAATCCTGACCTAAACGCTATTGGAAACTTGGGCCAAGCCTTGGGAACTTTGAAAATGACAGGTGCTCTTTGTCCAATCTGATTAAGCTTGAGCTGTTTTGCAAAGAAGAATGGACAAAGGCTTTCTGTCCAAAGGTGGTAGAGACATACGCCTAAATTACACGCTATTTTAACTGTAGGGAAATGTGGCTCTGCAAGGTGTGGAGTCATTTACTCCTTAAAAATAAATAAAGAAAAAAAAATTGAGCACTGCTATCACAAGGCCTTGGTAACGCCATATGAGCAGGTAGAGCCACCAACAGGTGTTCTGCTTGAGAAACGTTGCAGATCCCTTTAAATATCCTCTCTTCTAAGAAACCGGCAGCACAATATGGGGTAGTCTTCCTTCTGAGAAAAACATCAAATGAGTCATAAAGCCTGTCAAAAGGGCGTAAACATAAATTAACCCACTTATTTGTGGTTGGATTGCATCTTTTGTCATTTACAATATTTGGCAGCCCTCCCACCCACTCTGCAACCCCAGAAAAGATGGGGAGGGGAGGGAGGGAAATATGTCCTGGTAAAAAAAAAAGAATGATGTGATTTTGTTTTATTTATTTTGCTTTGAATATTTCAGAAAGCTCCTTCAAGTTGCTCAGGGTTTTTTTTTTAGCACACTCTGTTAAGCAGCCCATTTCCATCTCTTTTGCAGTCTCCACTCTCGTATGCAGCAGTCAGCTCGCAGTTTCTTCGTGGATGGCGGAACGCTGTCAGCTTCTGTCATATGTCTAAACGTCCAAATGAAAGCTGCGGTTGTGTATTTGCTGGATGCTGATGCAACAGTGGTTCTCAGCGTGCCACTGTGCAGGAAGACCTCTGCTTTGCATGCAAATCTGATTTTGAAATGTTGCTAACCACTGTTCGTTCTGACAAGGACACACGTTACTGGAACCAGTCAGAAGGCGATCTGTCCGAGAGTTCTTGAAACCGTTCATCCCAAAAATGGAGTAAAAACCGAAAGTGTAGTCAAAGCGCCACCTCGTTATTGCCTCTCAGTTTGGATCTGACACACAGTATGAAAATATAATAACATAAGGACATAATGAAAAGCACACAAATATTACATAGCTCAATATTTCTATATTTGGGTTGAAGAAGTCTTAAAACTTTTAGGACAAGGACCTGCTTATTGCTGCCAAAGAAATGCGAGACCTGCAGGGACATCTGCTATCAGGCTCATTTAGTAGTAATGTCTAGCTTCAACAAGATTTGCCAAAGGCACTTCAACGCAGAAATGAGATGGAAAAGGAGTCAATAAAGTCGGTTTAGAAGGAGCAAAAAAAAAAGGGAACATGCTCAATGATTTCCAGGCAGATAGAGCAGCAGGGACTCTGCAGGGGACTAACATGAGAAGGTGTAAGATTCAGTTATATTTTGTTTATTTATCTCGCACCAATTCAAAAGAGAACTTGATGGACATGGTCAATTTGAATCCAATCATATGGAATACAGTCAGTCAAATACACTCTAATAAGGTCTTTGTGCAGAGAGTAGAGAGTACAGTTCAGTCCTATTCATTTATTTAATTCAAAACAATGGCATCTAGTTGGTCATATAATGTCAAATGGTGTCATTTTATTTAAGGAGCACTTTGTCGTGTGGCCAGAACACAAAGCGCTCAAAACGCATTCGATCAAGTGTATGCCAAAAAAAAAAAATGCTAAGCTAAGTAAATAGAAGATATATTTTTAATTTTGTTGTTTATTTGATAGGGATAGATACAAGAAACATTGATCAAAACAATCTGAATTTGCAACGCATGCCCCAAGAAAGATCTAGGTTTAAATGAAAAGTTAAGATCAACAGAAATTACAATGACATGATCAACAAGAGATGTAGAACAATATATTCAAAACTATTGGATCAAAAATAATTACAATATCTAAAAACCGAGTGTAGTCCTGGTGCATTTTTAGCCAATTCTTAAGCCAAAATCAACATTTGTGTTGTTCAGACATCAACACTTTGATGTCACTTAAAATATTTAACTGAGGAAACACATTTCTCATCGTAAATGCAATAAGGAAACCTAAAAAAAAAAAAAGGACACGTTGTGATATGAAAAAATTAGGACAATGTATGGCATTTTTGTTCTAACATTTGGATATTTTGATATCAATTTCACCAGGGAGATTTTATTACATGGACACCAAATACAGCCTGGAAAAGAACCTCAAACCNAATTCAGTGCTGTCAGAAAATCCGGCCTTGCATGAAAAGTTAGGCATGAATATTTTGCATTATGTCACTGATACATCTGGCGTGTCTGTTAGCCAATGACATGCCAAAATCACAGGTGCGAGGTGACTCCATCTGCAGATTGGACAGTTTTATTCATAGGAAAAAAATCTGACTGTCTCTTCTAACAGTCAGTCAGTGCACCTCCAGATGGCTTTCACGAATAAAGCATTTTTGACTCCGAGCTTCCTGCTTTCAGAATAACATTATGAAAATCTGATCAAGAGGACAGATCAAAGTGAGCCCGAACAACCGAATGCATCCAGAACTCACCTGTAAGAGAATAGAAAACATGTGTGTAGTTTAATTTTAGCAGAAATGCAGCTGCGGTGTGAAGGGCTCAGAGGAGTTTGTACGAACATAAAGCAAATGGTTCAAACTTTCAACATTTCACAAAGTATTACTCAGTCGATAATCTGGAAAAAAAGAAAAAAAAAAAAAAAAGAAGTGCGGCACAGCTGCAAACCTATACCGAGACGTTGCTGTCCAACTAAACTGACAAGTGAGGAGAGTATTAATCAGAGAAGCAGTCAAGAGGCCCTTCTTAATTGCGCCACAAATCTGACCTTTATAGAAGAGTGGCAAGAAGAAAAACAATGTTGAAAGGATGCAGTTTGCCATAAGCCTTGTAGTGGTCACAGAAAATGTGGAACGAGATGCCGTACGTTGATGAAATTAAGAAATCCTGACCTAAACGCTATTGGAAACTTGGGCCAAGCCTTGGGAACTTTGAAAATGACAGGTGCTCTTTGTCCAATCTGATTAAGCTTGAGCTGTTTTGCAAAGAAGAATGGACAAAGGCTTTCTGTCCAAAGGTGGTAGAGACATACGCCTAAATTACACGCTATTTTAACTGTAGGGAAATGTGGCTCTGCAAGGTGTGGAGTCATTTACTCCTTAAAAATAAATAAAGAAAAAAAAATTGAGCACTGCTATCACAAGGCCTTGGTAACGCCATATGAGCAGGTAGAGCCACCAACAGGTGTTCTGCTTGAGAAACGTTGCAGATCCCTTTAAATATCCTCTCTTCTAAGAAACCGGCAGCACAATATGGGGTAGTCTTCCTTCTGAGAAAAACATCAAATGAGTCATAAAGCCTGTCAAAAGGGCGTAAACATAAATTAACCCACTTATTTGTGGTTGGATTGCATCTTTTGTCATTTACAATATTTGGCAGCCCTCCCACCCACTCTGCAACCCCAGAAAAGATGGGGAGGGGAGGGAGGGAAATATGTCCTGGTAAAAAAAAAAGAATGATGTGATTTTGTTTTATTTATTTTGCTTTGAATATTTCAGAAAGCTCCTTCAAGTTGCTCAGGGTTTTTTTTTTAGCACACTCTGTTAAGCAGCCCATTTCCATCTCTTTTGCAGTCTCCACTCTCGTATGCAGCAGTCAGCTCGCAGTTTCTTCGTGGATGGCGGAACGCTGTCAGCTTCTGTCATATGTCTAAACGTCCAAATGAAAGCTGCGGTTGTGTATTTGCTGGATGCTGATGCAACAGTGGTTCTCAGCGTGCCACTGTGCAGGAAGACCTCTGCTTTGCATGCAAATCTGATTTTGAAATGTTGCTAACCACTGTTCGTTCTGACAAGGACACACGTTACTGGAACCAGTCAGAAGGCGATCTGTCCGAGAGTTCTTGAAACCGTTCATCCCAAAAATGGAGTAAAAACCGAAAGTGTAGTCAAAGCGCCACCTCGTTATTGCCTCTCAGTTTGGATCTGACACACAGTATGAAAATATAATAACATAAGGACATAATGAAAAGCACACAAATATTACATAGCTCAATATTTCTATATTTGGGTTGAAGAAGTCTTAAAACTTTTAGGACAAGGACCTGCTTATTGCTGCCAAAGAAATGCGAGACCTGCAGGGACATCTGCTATCAGGCTCATTTAGTAGTAATGTCTAGCTTCAACAAGATTTGCCAAAGGCACTTCAACGCAGAAATGAGATGGAAAAGGAGTCAATAAAGTCGGTTTAGAAGGAGCAAAAAAAAAAGGGAACATGCTCAATGATTTCCAGGCAGATAGAGCAGCAGGGACTCTGCAGGGGACTAACATGAGAAGGTGTAAGATTCAGTTATATTTTGTTTATTTATCTCGCACCAATTCAAAAGAGAACTTGATGGACATGGTCAATTTGAATCCAATCATATGGAATACAGTCAGTCAAATACACTCTAATAAGGTCTTTGTGCAGAGAGTAGAGAGTACAGTTCAGTCCTATTCATTTATTTAATTCAAAACAATGGCATCTAGTTGGTCATATAATGTCAAATGGTGTCATTTTATTTAAGGAGCACTTTGTCGTGTGGCCAGAACACAAAGCGCTCAAAACGCATTCGATCAAGTGTATGCCAAAAAAAAAAAATGCTAAGCTAAGTAAATAGAAGATATATTTTTAATTTTGTTGTTTATTTGATAGGGATAGATACAAGAAACATTGATCAAAACAATCTGAATTTGCAACGCATGCCCCAAGAAAGATCTAGGTTTAAATGAAAAGTTAAGATCAACAGAAATTACAATGACATGATCAACAAGAGATGTAGAACAATATATTCAAAACTATTGGATCAAAAATAATTACAATATCTAAAAACCGAGTGTAGTCCTGGTGCATTTTTAGCCAATTCTTAAGCCAAAATCAACATTTGTGTTGTTCAGACATCAACACTTTGATGTCACTTAAAATATTTAACTGAGGAAACACATTTCTCATCGTAAATGCAATAAGGAAACCTAAAAAAAAAAAAAGGACACGTTGTGATATGAAAAAATTAGGACAATGTATGGCATTTTTGTTCTAACATTTGGATATTTTGATATCAATTTCACCAGGGAGATTTTATTACATGGACACCAAATACAGCCTGGAAAAGAACCTCAAACCAACTGTGAAGCACGGAGGTGGAGGTGGCATGGCTCGGGAATGCTTCGCTATAGCACAACCTGGCCAGCTCGCCGTCATAGAATCCACTATGAATTATTCTGTGTACATCTCAGGTCATCTCCATATAATTTAAACTGAAGGAGAATTGGGCCTTGCAACATGACAATTACCCAAAACATGTTAGTAAATCCGCCATGGCCACGAGAATCGACAAACGAACGTCCTTGTCCTTGTGAAAGCCTGCGTCTTGATCTCATTAAGATGCTGTGGGGCGACTTGATGCCGGGTTTACACGCAAGAAACCCCTCAAACATATCGCAGCTGAAAGCAAGGAGCGAAGCTTTTCTCACGTTCAGGTCAGAGACGGCAAGATGGCTCTAATTTAATTTAATTTAAGGCAACATGTTCCATCAAGTCACTGAATCCCATCGAGCATGTCCAACAGTAAGGAAACCATTTCATTTTACCAGTAAGAGACTTTAAGCTGTACCAGCCTCAGTTGCAAAAAACTATTCCAGAAGGCCTGAGCTGGTGGTACTTTCCATGGAAAGGAGAACATAAAAAACAGAGAAATCACAAAGTTAATGCTAGGTATGGCTTTATTAATGGCTTCCTTTCATCCATTTCCTCTGGATAAAAAGACCGAAGCTCTGCGTAAGAAGCAACCTACTTTCTTCAGGGAATAATAAAGAACAAGGGGTTGCCTATAAAAATGCATGGATATCATACATTATCAGAACATTAAAGTGTCACACAGCTCTAATTATATGTTTTTATTTTCCTTTTATAATAAATGTAAAAATAAGCAGAAATTCAAGAAAATTTGTGTCAAAA